TGCTCATTCCTGCCCATGGCAGGGGGTCAGACTCGATGATCTGTCTAGGTCCCTTCCAACTCATTGATTCTATGATTGTATGATTAATGAATTGCCAACAAGGCGTGGTAGGTGAGAAGGCAGGCGGTTAACTCAAGAACAAGTGGGTGGGCCATAAGGAAAAATCAGCCCCGAGAAGGCCCCCTGTTACAGTCACTCACCCATGTCACAAGTTTTGCCTGTCAGCTGCTGGAGGTGCAGAGCCCCGGAACCCAGACTCCCCCTGCACCCATCTTATTGACAGCTGGCAGGCTTTGTGACTGCAGCAGGGCCTAGCAGGCCTGCAGTTTTCATCCCCATGCCCCAAGACAGACACAGTCCCACAAGCACCCATGTCATGAGTTTTGCCTGTCAGCAGCCAGAGGTGCAGGGTCCCAGAACCCAGAAGCCCCTATACCCATCTCCTTGAAAGCTGGCAGGCTTTGTGGCCTCATCAGGGGCTAGCATGCCTGCAGATTTCACCATGCTGCGCCTTAACACATACACAGTGTCACCCATGTCACAAGTTTTGCTTGTCCGCAGCTTGAGGTGTAGTTTCCTCCAAACCCATGCACCATTCTCCCTGAAACATGGCAGGTTCATGCCCTCAGAAGGGACTACCATTCCTGCAAGTTTGATCCAAATCAGGCCAGAAATGACACAGTTATAGGCTGTTTCGAGCTTCCCCATTATAGCCTATGGGCGAAATGTCGAAACAGCAAAACTGTTGTTTCGACGAAACGAGACAGAACAGCAGTTTCGAATCAAAACGAAATTCAAAATGAAATGCTGTTCCATCAAAACGTCGAAACTCAAGTTGAAACAGAATGGTGCCATTTCGCACAGCCCTACTAGCTAGCTATTTTTGGAAGAACATTTCATAAGTTAAGTTGTGTGCTCAACAGGCATCACCTGAGGTGCTTCTTATGATTCAACACAGTATCTATGCTCAACTCCCCTCTTACCTGCTATGAAGATACTAAATGGTACGAGATGTTTATGGCCATTAGTTCCTTTGCAACATCCAAAGAAAGAGTAATAGTGGGTCAATTTGCCCCTGTGGGATCTTTCCTTCTGATCCTTATAAGACTTGTAATTCCTTCTATTAATCCACCCCCAGTGGAGGCATTTTAATATAGGTGAATTAAGTCATTCCAGATGTACTTTACTGACTTCAGACAGTGCAATTTCTCACAGTCTTGAACTGCAGTCATCCAGAGTTTATGGCATGTAGTGGAATTCTGCCACACAAGTGTTTTGGAAGATTTCATCTTTAACACCCAGAACCAGACTTTCATTTGTTATTTGCTAATTTTCCAAGGTAGTACTTTGATGAAGTGACATTGCAGATAGGAATTTACACTCTTTGAAGATTCCTGGCACATCTGAAGACAGAAAATACTGCATATCTAAATGTTTTAGTTATACAATGAGGATTCGACTTCTCTTCCATTAGTTGCTACTTGGAATTCTATGCAATTGCCAATTTATGGGTGAGTTCAGCATTAAAATAACGTTACATCATAAAGACCTACTATTGTTAAACTTACTAGGAGTGGTAAGAAATCTGGTGGCAACAGCCATGAAAAAATTAAATTCTTCTTGACTCGGGAGATCAGCAGAAGCAATCATGCTTTCAAAATAAGTTGCAAAACCATGTGCTTTCAATACATAAACACACGCATGCCTAATATAGTCAGATTCTTATGTACTCCATAAATACAGTCAAAGCATGGATCCCAACTTCCTTGCCCTGCTCCTGGTATTGCTCTGCATGATGCCTTTCCCATGGGCAGTTACAATGGCTTGCATTAGACCAAGTTTCAAAAAGCAAGCACAAGGCTGTACAGTATTGGGGGCTTCTGGTCACACCCTGGCAGTGCAGATATGTGCCATATATTCCCAAGGCCAGCATTCAACACTGCAGGATTATCTTTACAATCAGAAGAGATTGTTCAATAGACGAGTCTGGGCTTGTCTAGACAAACAGCATTTGCATTGATGTAATTATATCACTTTCAAGAGTAAACTCCCTCTCATCCAGACAAGCTTTGTCAGCTCCTGAAATCAACATCTCTCAGCAGTGGGACACAAAACAATCATGGTTCACCTGAAAATCTCTCCACAGACTGACTTTAACAACAAGACATTTTGCTTTCAGTCACAGCATTAAGGGGAGGGGTGGGGGAACTGAAGTTTAAAATATTTGTGCATAAAATGAACTGCTATTGATTTTTTTAAAATGGCAAGTGTTTTATGTCCAAGGCAGGTTATATTGTTACCAAAGTAGCCTCTCTCAGATTCAAGTCCTACCCCAAAAAAGGCAAATTTAAGCAAACTCTAGTATAAACTATATCAGGGCAGGATTATCTGGCACCAGGATTAACACAGATCAGAAAACTCCCTCCAAATTCTAGAGCTACTAAGGGTGTAGAATTTAATGCATTAACATTTTATACAGACATGAAATAAGATTCTACAGATAACACATCTGCATAGATTATGTTCTGTTTCTATTGCTTATGAATATATTCATAATAAAATAAAGCCATTAGGCTTCTGGAAAGAAAAACTTATTTGAATATTTATTTAAACTGCAACTGTAAAATAATCATCCAAATTATTTAACTATTGGAAAGTGTAAAGCACCATCAGGAGACAGAGAAGATATTTGAAAGCTCTAATATTAAACGATAAGGTACTACAGGTCCTCCACTGTACTTTTATCATTATTACTCCATTGCTTTAGCAAGTCCCATATTAATTTGATCTCTTAAAGCTAGATGACCTCAAGTTGTGAGCTCATTTAGCATATAATTCTCTTGACTTATTTGGGGAAAAACAAACAAACAAACAAAACACAAAACCAGGTACAGTGTCCTTTTAAAAAACAGTTTCAAACCAACTGTAGTTGCTATGTAGGGTTATTTGTTGCCAAGGTGACAACGTATATCTAAGTACTAATGGCCTGTCCTTTTGCCAAGCAACAAACAGCCTTGTGATGCAACTGCACCTGTCTCAGCTATGCGTTACTATGGAGACATTTGAGTTACTATGGTTACCATCACGCTAATCGCCTAGCAAGGGCAGACATACAGCCGTCTCCCGCGAAAGCCCAGCTGTTCCTCCCAATCTCTGACTGAAGATTGATTGTCTGGCCATGTGACGGAATGCACTGCTCAGCGGAGATGCACAAGAACTTCATTAACATTACTTGAAAGAAATCACTTTGTGCATCGCCACCTCCTTGCAGGACATATATCAGACTCAAAAAAATAAGCTGGAAAAACAAAAGTCATCAAAATCACTTATTAATCCATAATTCCAGTAATTAACAAATTGCTTGCAGGCAGATAAAATTCCTCTTAATTTTATGATGTTATATATAAACACATCACTATGTTTTCAAGATAAAAAGGCATTTCTGTTCAAGTCAATTATTTGATAGAGTATATTTTTAAACATTTTCTAGAGCAGCAGCTAAAGGGAACCAGCTGTGTTCAGAACCTAATATTCACCTCCCTCCTTTGTGGATCACAATCTTAAATTCTCTCTCCTTGCAGTCATTTATTTCACTAACACTACTTGTAAGCAATGGCCAGATAAAATGCACCTATTTCATTCTTAAATGAGAGTGAAAGACTCTATTGGTCTCCATTGTACACCTTTGAGACAAACCTACGTGCACACACTCATCTACAGGGCATGTAACCACAACAAAAGGAACTTTAAAATCACCTAGACGCAAGGTTTGCATGGAGACTGGATATCTGCACTAACAACACAGTTGTGGACTGAGTAACAAGCTAGAAAGAAAATAATTAACTAGCACCCTACTAGTGCAACTGCTGTATTTTTTAATCTATCGAAACTGGATAAACTGACTTTTAAAAAAAAAACCATTTGCTTGTGCACACACTAATTTTAAATATTTTCTCTGCTGAGATATTCTGTAACTTATCCATGGGAAACACTGAAAGTTGAGACTGACAGAAGTATCAGAACCATCACATTGCTGACATGCCAGAGAACAGAAAGGTAAGGAATACCGGAGCGTGAACCAAGAAATTGACTGTTTATTATAATACACAGCATGTTACCATATTTTCTTAATTATTGTGATTTATTATATTTGGTATCTTAGCCAAGATCCATAAGTACAGCTAGATGGAAAACAACAGCAGTTGTAAAATGTGTCTAGTTTTCTTACCTTTGATATGCCTGAGGAGATGTGGGAGGTGTATTGAACACATGCGAATATGGGTGATAGGGTGTCTTTTTCAAAGCCTGAATAAGATTTTGTCTATACTCTGGGTCTATACACCACAAGGACCCCTTTCCAATACTCTGCAAAGAAAAAGAATTTAAAAAAAAATAAATACTTGATTTAGCAACATAGCCATATTTATAATTAGGAAAAGCAGTGGATTTACATATTACTTGCCAAAGATAACTGCTCTAGTTATATTATATTTTAAAATTTTATTCTTACAACCAAAATTTCAAGAAAAGACAGAAGCATGCACACACACTGTAGTCACCTCTACCTTCTCATTTTAATTAAACAGATTCAGTAATATATTGTAATTTCCCCACGTCCCGCAAACTGGAAAAATCGCATACACTATGTTATAAATATTCACTACAGTTATACATTATACAATTATTTAGTTATATTCTTAAATGTCAGCTTTGGGGATACATAAATTTGTCTTTGAAAGGGAAATAAAACATTATTTTTCCCTTTTGCTGTAGTAAAATAAACCTAACAAACCCATTTATAATAAGAATTTAAACAATTAGCAATTCATCAACCAACTGACACCAGTTTACTACAATCTATCTAACCTTTTCTCGGAGGAAAAAAACTTTCAAAAAGCCTCCCCCCCCAAGCCCCAGTACCATCAGTGTTTAAACCATTTAAAGGTGTTGTGAAATCTTGATGGTTAAATAAGTCTTACTTTAGTTACCTCTCCAGACCTACTGAGCAACTCACTCCATTAGTCAAACTGTAATGGCAATGCCTACACACATTTAATGTTTATTCTGCAGTTCAAAGCATAGTCCTCTCTCTAGTCTTAGCACCAGGAACCTCAGAGTGTAGATATTTTAAACTGTTCTGTTTGCACTCTTAAAAATTTTAATAATTTTAAAAATCCCTAAATGAATTAGGAAGAGAGAGAAAAGTGGCCATCTAAAACACCCCCCAAAAAGCTATCACAACTCAAAAGCCACTTTACCAAGATACCAACATCTGTTCAAAAAACAGGTCAAATAAACAGCAGTACTAGTTATTGATTGCTGAAGAAGTTGCAGGCTTTCCAGTCAGTTTGATAAGTTTTTTAGTAAATGTTTCCAGAAGGGGAAAAAATAGTTAAGTTACACTAAAACCTGCTTTTCTATCAGGTAGGTAGGTAGGTAGTCATCTCTTTCTACTACTACAACTTACATTAGTAAACCAAGATCCTCACTACACTGAAGTTAAATGTATGCAGCGGAGGTTTAGGTTTAAAAGAAACAAAGAAAATCCTATGAAGACACTAAAATTAACATGTGGCTTTCAAATCTAAGGGGGGAAAAAAAACCCCACACTTCTGCTTTTGAAAGATTATCATATTTGTGAAACATTATCAACTTTCCAAGTGTTGCCCTATTATACAAAGACATTTCAAGGGGCTTTACCCAACATTCGAGATGCTTATAAACCCTCCCCCAAGCTTACCGACTTCAGACCCTGATCCTGCAACAGACCCTGCAAAGTAGACTCTTGAGCCGATACAAAACTGCTCTGACTTCAGTGAGCTTGCCCGTGGCATCAGTTAGCTGCCTGCATGGAGCTCAGAGCAGGGTCTGAGTCTCTGCTTGAAGAACACAGGATACAAAGTCTGAGCACTCATTTCATGTCTCTCAGAATGCCTGATCTTGTTGCACCCTACCTCCCATGCCTTTGCCTAATGTTGCCTTAACTGGAAAAACCATACTTTACATTTTTCTGTGACATGCTTACCACTTTGCAGGCATGCCACAAACAAGTACAAACCACAAGTATGCCCTCTTTTACTGAGGACTGAGAAGAACCCAAGATCCATGACCCTGTTCTTGATGAACTTTCTAAAACAATCCTGGGCTTCATACATGTATATTGTGCCCATGTATTAACACGAGCACTAATGAGGGAATGGCCTGGTGCTTGCTTTACAGTTCCCAATTTTCAGAGTTAAAAAACATGACTATTCAAGAACCTAGAATTAAGCTCTGAGCTAATACATGCCCATCTACTTGTAAGACCTTAGGAATCATAGGAAAGTCAGGCTGGAAGGCACCTCACAAGATCATCTAGTCCAGCCCCCAGCTCAGGACAGGATCGTCCCTGACCAAACCATCCCAGCCAAGTGTCCATCTGACCTGCTCTTGAAAACTTCCAAGGATGGAGAGTCCACAATTTCTCTACATAGCCAGTTCCAATGCTCAGTCATCCTCACAGTCAGAGGGTACATCTACATATGCAATTAACGTGAGTGAATACACTCAAGCTCAATCTGAGCCAGAGTAAACTAATTCCAACATCACCATCTACACATGCATTTAAGTGCAGTCATTTACTGCACTGCCAGATGGTATCTGGCAGCGCAGTAAATTAGCCTACTGAACCCTAATTGCCACACACGTCTGCTGTGTAGTAAAGCCTCTTGTGTTGATGCACCCAGAAAGATCTTTCTGATCTCCAAACTAAAACTTTCTTTGCTGAAGGCTTGAAGCCATTGCTCCTTGTACTGTCCTCTACAGTCACACAGACAAACCCATCTCCATCCTCTCTGCAATCATCCTTTAGATAATTGAAAATGGTTATCAAGTCTCCTATCTGTCTCCTCTTCTCCAGACTAAACAAGCCTAGCTCTTTCAGCCTTTCTGTATAAATATTGCATCCCAGGCCTCTGATCATTTTTGATGCTCTTTGATGGACTCTTCCCAAACTGTCCACATCTTTAAGATGCGGTGCCCAAAACTGGGCACAGTACTGCAGTTGAGACCTCACCACGGTGCTGAATAGAGCAGAAGAATCATTTCTCTTGATTAGCAAGTGATACTCCTGGTGATATCACCTTGAATACTCTTGGCCACTGTGCTCAAAAAGACCACAACGTTGGCTCACATGCAGCTTGTGGCCCACTGTAACCTCCAGGTCCTTCTCTGCAGTACTACAGCCTAGGCAGTCATTACCCCCAACTGTATTCGTGTATGCAATTATTTCTTCCAAGTGAACGACTTTGTCCTTGTTGAACCTCAGCTGATTGACTGCAGACCATTTCTCCAGTCTATCCGGCTCATTAAAATCACTTGCCAATGTTAAACATACCTAAAATTTATGGCAAGTTATTTTAAAACACCATAGCAATAACAGCAATATCCAACTCTTATGTAGCTTATATCAACAGTAGCTCTCAAACCATTCTACACAGAAAATCAGTGTCATTTTACAGATAGTTAAACTGAGTCACAGAAACATGAAGCGATTTACAGAAGATCACCCAGAAGGCCAACAGTGAAATGAGGAATAGAATCTGTCTCTCCTTATTCCCTGAGAGATACTTTATCCCAGTGGTCACCAACCAGTGGATCTTGATCCACCAGCAGATCTCAGAGCCTCTTGGAGGCGATCCAAGGCTGGCATGGAGGGCTGAGTGCCCGTGTGCCCCAGCCCAGCAGGTCAGTCTGTGGGGGAGGGAAGGGGCGGGGGCTAGATTGACGCCCCCACAGTGAGGGACAGTGCCCACAGAGGCAAGAGCAGGGTTAAGTTGAGTGAAGCCCTGGCCAGGTGGGACTTACCTGCTAGGGAGGCACATCCCCAAATAATTTTTTCTCCCTCTGCCTTAATCTGCTCCTCCCCTTTCCCTCCCCACAGACTTACCTGCTGGGTGGGGGTAGAAAAAGGGTGGTGGCAGCACACGGTAGATCTTGGGCTGCTTTTAAATGCCAAAAGCAATCTTCTACTTAAAAAGGTTGAAGATCACTGCTCTATCCACTAGGTAGAGTGAGAGCTATGAATCTACCCTTTTTACATACAAGTTGGCAAAGCACGGCTATTCCCTTGAAACAATAGCATAGAAAACATGTAACTTGAGAAAACTTCCCCGTGTTAAGAACCGTTAGTCCTTACTTTATTACTGCCATCTTCACTTTAGCATATTTTTCTCTCATATATAAGCATACATGTTTTTGGTCAATGCAAAAGAGGAAATAAACTTTAGGTACAGTGTGAAAATAGCTTCTCTTACCATACAACACAAAACATTTGCATATGAAGAACTCAGAATAATGTTGCTATACAAGCTACCTCAATAAGCTTGCAACTTGAGGCTCCACAGGGAAGCAGTATACCTGTGCCTTCATGCAACACCTGAACTGTCAAGTGATGTTTTATATTTGACCTTCAAACATTCTACCAGATCCTGAGCAGCTGCTCTGAACACAAAAGGTCTGTTTGAAAATTTGCCTATGCAGAAATGAACCAATGTTTGCAAATCAGTTTCATAATTTGATAGTAATTACACTTGATAAAGCACTGAAAGGGGGTTACAGCACTGTTTATCCTGCCATGAGTTTCAGGAAACAGCTATGGCAATACAAGTTTCTTTAACAGTGTCGTTAAATTAAAACTTAAATGCCTGTATTTTCAGATACAGGACACTCAACATGCATTAGAAAAGGGTAAACTAATAAATTAGTCTGAAGTGGAAAGTTTTGCAGACACAAAAGCTGGCTTCTACAAGGTGACACGTGTCCAATAACCAGGGACCTACCTAAATTGTGTGAAGGAAAGGCACTGCACAGCACCTCTTTTAATCTTGCTCTCTTTGCTGAGCACCCTTGCATCCCGGCCATTCCAACTGGCAGCCCTGCCACTGATCGGCCAGGAGGCAAAAAAACCCCCAAAAACACAGTTTTAAATATTCTGCAGTTTTTGCCTCCTACCCGATTAGCAGCAAGCAGAAGGAGCACCAAGACTCCTCTGCCAATCAGTGGCATGGGGTGGAGGGGAGGATGTGACAAAAAGAAAAAAATTAA